CATTAATAAATAATAAAAAAAAATAATTGTAACCCCCCCCCTGTATTTCTCACACCTACATAATTTGTCAAATTGTCTTTCCATCTGCCAAGGTGAAAGCTCCAGTGAAGCCTGAGATGAGATGAGATGTTTCTGAGAGTAAAGGCAAGGAAAAATGCATTATTTTTGCCCGTGTTAGCCTCTGGGCGTGTTTCCAGTGACAGCCCATGCACCCTGTCTTTGAACTGGGGAGAAGGTACCTGCTGTGTAAGTGTGGGCCCCTCACTGTCCTGGCTCTGGGCAGGCTTGATCCTACTTACAGTCCAACTCTTCAACCAAGGAGTGGTTAACCAAAATTATTTAAATATCTAACAGTTAAGGGAGACTTGTAATATTCTGTGAGCATTGTAAGAAAACAGGCTTCTTATACTTTTAGAAGAAAACTAAAGGTGTTGTCAGATATTTCTTGTGGCAGCTGAAAGTTCTGGACAGTTGGGCAGAACCAGACCCATCTTTTAAAAAAAATCACTTTTTTTCCCAATGTCTTGAAATTATTCTGGAACAAGAAAAGTGAAATAACATGAATAGCATTCTGAAACTAGATGAGCAGTTTAATTAAAAACAAATTAACTAGTCATTCCTTGGAAGTCCGGGCAACATGAATATGCCAGTTTGCTATGCAATAACAGTGAGCCTTAAATTCAAAATCCTCCTACAGCAGACATCCTTTCCCCTCCAAAGTAAAGGACAGTTCTCACAAGCAAAGCAAAACACGCTTTAATGAAATGCATTTGCTGGACAGAACTATTGAATAATTACTAAGCAGATGATGTTATGATTAGGTGTCATTATCCAGAGTGACTGTTTCTCAAAATACTCTCTTTATGGGTACAGTTAGTTCATGGCATGTTGTCTTACTGAATCACTGCTCTGTTAGAAGAAGAAGAGCTAATTCTGTTGGTCAGAAACTGAGAGAAGTCATTCAAGAACTTTTGTTTTCACTTTCCTGTACCTTCTGTTTTCTTTTGCTGTTTCCAGTCACCTCTGATACTAATACATGGTAATAAACCTGATAACATTTAATGGAGTTTTAAAAGTTATCTGTCTTCAGCTTTTGTCTTCACCCTGGTCAGATCTAGGTACTCATGAAGTGGAAAAGATTTTGTAATAATGCAGAAGAGTTTTGCCCCGAAATACAATTTTTCTAGGAAGACAGTTATGTATGCATCCCCACATGTTGCGTGAGTGCTTACATTTTGGAAAGGTCATAGAATTTGAAGCCTTAATCTGAAAGAAAAAAAAAAGTCTGCTCCAAGGGACTTTGCTGTAGCTTATTTATTGTGCTTAGAATGGGCACAATACCGTGCTGTTGGATGGTGTTATGAATATCTAAGATGGAAAGAAAGCTGCAAGACCTAAAAGACAATCATCTTTTAGAAATGCATAGAAGCATATGGCAGACTTTTTTATTGTAGTAACTCGGTGATTTTGGCATCCAATATTCCCAGAGCTCCTCTTGGGGAATATTCACAACATCTTGTTTTAGGATTGCAACCAATATAGCCATACTGGAATGCTGATATCCATAGGCTTCCTGTATAGACTGCCTGTACCACTCTCACAGAGAGGCAGAGGGAGAGCAGCTGCTCCAGGGAGCTGTTCAATACATCTCAGCTTAGGCTTCTCTTCCATGCCACATCCTGGAATTGCCCCACTCCCCTCTTTTTGCCATCATCTGTCAAGGCAGATGAGGACTTTTTTTTGAATGAGGAGCCACATCTGTGAACTTGGAATGGCATACCTTGTGTTAGGTGGTAGGAACACTCCTTTTTTCTGTGTTTTGGCATTGCTCTGCAATGCAGCAGTTGGGAAAAAAATCATACATTAATTCACTGTAAATAGAAGTTTGTCTGAAACTGCCCAGGATCCCGTAAATTTAGTACTTTTAGAAGAGATTAATAGGAAGAATAGGTGAGTGAATACATATCTAATGAAAAATTCAGTTTTGTCACCAGAGAATGATTTATAATGTAGGTTTCTTCACTTTGCTTCTAGAGAGCTGTGTGTTCTTGTAAGTTTCTTGTGGTTTAACCCCAGCCAGCAATAAGCACCACCCAGCTGCTCGCTCACTCCCCTCAGTGGGATGTGGGAGAAAATTGGAAGAGTAGCAGTGAGAAAACTCATGGGTTAAGATAACAACAGTTTAAAAGGTAGAGCAAAAACAAGGAATTCATTCACTGCTTCCCAAAGGCAGGCAGGTGTTCAGCCATCTCCAGGAAAGCAGGGCTCCATCGTGCATAATGGTTACTTGGGAAGACAAACACCTTAAGTCTGAATGTCCCCCCTTCCTTCTTTTTCCCCCAGCTTTATACGCTGAGCATGACAGCATATGGTATTGAATATCCCTTTGGTCAGCTGGGGTCAGCTGTCCCAGCTGTGTCCCCTCCCAACTTCTTGTGCACCCCCAGCCTGCTCACTGGTGGGGTGGGGTGAGAAGCAGAAAAGGTCTTGAATCTCTGTAAGCACTGCTCAGCTGTAACAAAAACATCCCTGTGTTATCAGCACTGTTTCCAGCACAAATCCAAACCATAGCCCCATAGTAGCTACTATGAAGAAAAATAAACTCTATCCCAGCCAAAACCAGTGCATTTCTAAAAGTAATTTTTCAATACTTTTAGTGCAACTACAAGAAAGGTGAAAATACAAATAACATGCCAGCATTGTGTTAAAGAAACCCTAAAACCAAGAAATCTAAGCTTTCATTTTAATTATGTAATTTTATATCATTTTTACCTTTTAAAAATGTCACCTCAACGGAGTTTTCATATATCCAGAAACCCATAAAAATTTTTTTGCAATAAAAAAAGGAAGGACGTGGAACTCTTGGAGCGGGTGCAGAGGAGGGCCACTAAGATGATCAGAGGGCTGGAGCACCTCTCCTATGAGGAAAGGTTGAGGGAACTGGGCTTGTTTAGCTTGGAGAAGAGAAGGCTCTGGGGAGACCTCATTGCGGCCTGCCAGTGCTTGAAAGGAGCCTATAAACAGGAGGGGGA